GTTGGTTTTTCCTTTGATGCTGTGTTGAGCCTTCGATATGAGATATTTTCGAAACAGGTCAATGGTTTGAGACATGTCCTGTATTTGCCTTGAGCTTTCATTCGTGGTTACTTGCTGAATTGGAGCGTCTTCTATCTTCATGAAATCCTTTGTGCTCAAGGACATTTTTTTATCCCTAAAAGAGATATTATACCTTCGAAAACCTGTTCAGTAAAGAAACTGTTGATGTTAGAATTTGCACTGCATTTGCATGAACACTAGGAGTTAATCCAATTAGAGAATACTTGAAGAAGAGAGACAGAGTAAGTACCTAGAGGAAGTGAGGAGGAAAAATTTTTCAGAATTCAGAGCTCAAAAATGGGAAGTTAAATATACTACAGAGAGTTTGGAAATGACGCCAGAGGAGGATTAGTTGAATAGGTTTTCGATGCATTCCACAGAAACTAACTTCATGCTCATGTCCTGATTTTGGGAGCAGGTGTTGTCACAGCAGAGTGCACTGTTCCCGTGCAACCTTTCCATAAGATTTAAGTTTGCATGTCCAATCCAATAAACTCGAGATTAAAAATTTCAAGAGGAATTACAATTTTGTAGCCTTTCCAAAAACTGAACTTTGTTTAACAAGAAGAACAAACACGATTACAAACCAAAACAATCCCTAGAGATTTTTCCCTTGAATTATGCTGTTGTCTCGGTAACAACAAAAGCATTGATCTGAAGAGGATTTACAAACGTGAAAGCACTCATTTGTATATCATGTCAAGACACAGTTCCATTCAATGTTCATAATTAAAGATGTGTACCTTGTAAGTCTAAATAAAGACAATGCACAAAAAATTCATGGCAGGTATTGCAAATATATAATCTTTGCATTTGTCTTATGTTCACAAACATAATTGAGATAATTTATAGCAATTTTAAGAGTAACTAGGGAAAACAAAGCAAGAAAGAAAATTTGGGGAAGAAGAAAACTTCTAACACATGACATTAACATGAATCAAGTACTTTCTGATAAAAGACAAAAAGATTGAATTTCACTTTTGCTATTCATCAAGTTTCAGTCTTTGCATAGGAGGGGTCAATATGTCTCCATATGAAGCCAAGACAGCTTCCCATCATATTCACAAGCACATCAGACATAGCTGGAGGTAATCCAACCATTGGAGAAGCTAAATGGAAAGTTTCAAAACAACCACCTACACAAATCCACAACAAATAACAGAATTTTCAGGAATATATATATATATATATATATATATATACAAACAAAAGAGACGAACCATCTGACACGTAGAACATAAGGCAAGCTCAAGTTTCATTAACCTGCAGGGTACCGACGGAGAAAAGTTTAACAGCATCGACAAGAACATAAGTTCCTGCTAGACTCTTTGTCAAAAGAGTAAGAAGTACAGCCCCACGAGTGGTGCAGACTGTCGTTACAATTGAAAACTGGAACACCCCCTTTTTCAACAAAAAGAAATAGAATGAATGTATCTTATAATTCTGACATTCCACGCTTCTCTAGTACTTCTCTAGTAAGAACAGCCAAACGAGTTCAAGAATATACGATAAAGAACAGTGCAGGCACAATATGGAAGAAAGGTAAAGTTACCACATTAGAAGCAGTACCTCCAGGACAACAACCAAGTAAATCAAAGCTACAGGAAGAGATAGTGGAAGCACCAAACTTTGCTAATAATCATCGCTAAAGCGGGCACAATAGTACCCTGAGCAATGCATCTGAACAGAATCTCAAAAAAGTGAAAATCAAAAGACTTGTGTCCATAGGCAGATTTTTTAAAATAAACAATAATTT